AAAAATATAAGTCTTTGTTTTACTATGGTTGCAAATATCAAAAAATTTCTATATGTGACCCGGCACCAGAGTTAAGTTAGGGTTTTCCAAAATGCTGACCCGCCGAGCTCAGAGGTTCGCCATCGCTGTCCCAGGAGGAGCTGAAGCATTTCGAAGTGAAGATTGAGAAGCACAACCACTACCAGAAGCAGCTGGAGATTTCGCATCAGAAACTGCGGCACGTGGAGCGGTTTGGTGACCAGGAGCACCTCAGCCGGAACAAGGAGCGCTACGCGCTGCTGGAGGAGAAGACCAAGGAGCTTGGCTACAAGGCGGGTGCCCGCCGCGCCCGGCTTCTCTGCACGGGGAGGGGTTCGTGGGGCCCCAGACACGCAGCATGGCTCCTGTGGGGGACGGCGCTGCCCGAAGGGGCGGGCTTGGGGCAGGGCTGCCCAGCTCCCCGGCCCGCTCCAGGCCTGGGAGGCTACGTCCTGGCGTGGCTGCGCTCGGGGTGGCGTCTGCGTGAGCCGGACCTGGGACCGGGGACAGCATGGCCGTGACCAGCAGATGGTGGCCTCAGACGCCCCGCAGAGCCGCTGCCCCACGCCGAGCACTGATTTGCCTGCTGGCTGAGAGGCCCTCGCCTACAGCGTCACAGCCGTGGGACCCCCAAACCTGCCACGGGACCCCCTAAACCTGCCATGGAAACCCCCGAACCTGCCGCGGGAGCCCCGGATCAGAGCCCCGTGCGATGATTGTATTTAATTTGTCCGTGACTGTCGCTCGCTGTCCGTTTCTCTCACTGTGTCCTTGCCGCTCCACCTCAGCTCACGGTGGCTCCAGGCACTGCCAGGCGGAAGGTCCCCCTTCCATCCCCACACCCCACGCCCCGTCTTCCCTGATGCATCAGAGGAAGGAAGGGCAGCTGGGCACGATTCTCGCCCCTGCGGGCACCCGCGGGAAGAGCCTCCAGGTGGTGTAAGGGGCACCTTCCCAGGTTGGCCCCTGGAAGAGGCTCGGCCGTCAGGCACTCACCCCTTATTGGAAGGAACCCCGGGCAGCATGCTAGTGTTCGTGGGTTTGGGGTGCCGGGAGGGGCCCCGCAGCCACTGGGTCCCTGGCAGGGCAGCCTCCCTGCTGGGCCTCCACACCGTGTGTGCCCTGGCTGGCAGCTGGTGTGTCCCTCCTGGCCACTGCCAGGCCTCGGCAGCGCTGGGGCTGCCCTCTGAGGCACAGTGCCAGGGGCCCAGAGCCATGCCCTTTGCCTGGCCAGCCCTCATGGGGTTCACGTCACGGTGGGGTCAGAGGCCTGGGACGTGGAGGTGAGCAGAGGAAACGTGGGACTCAGTTTACCTGAGTTGTTGACAACCTGGCCTTCAGACCATGCGGTTAGGGGCTCCTGCCCCTGGAGATCGCCGAGGTGGGAGTGAGGGGCTGTCACGGGTGCACAGACCGCCTCCGGCGCATGCGCTGTCCCGGGGAGCGTGGGGCCCACCCCCGACCCCCAACCTCCTATAGCTAGGTGCTTGGCTTGTGACCCCCAAGTTCAGATACTAAACCCAGCCCCCAGGGTGTGGGATTTGTAGGTGGGCCCTGGGGGGTGATTGGGTCCGAGGGTGGGGCCCCCCCACGTGGGGTGAGTGCCTATTCCTGCCCAGTGAGGTGGCAGCTCTCCAGACACCAGTCCCTCTGCTCCCTGGTCTTGGACTTCCCGCCTCTGGCACAGAAATAAAGGGGGTTTATTTACCGAGTTGGCGGGTTTCTGTTCAGGGGCCCAGATGGTGTCCCTGTTGGAGCTTTGCGGACGAGAGAGAGAGTGTGTGTGTGTGTGTGTGTGTGTGTGTGTCTCTTGGCCTCCGTGCCTTAAGCAAGGTGGGCCCTGTCTCCAGAGGTGCTCCCTGTCTAGTGCTCCATCCCGGCTGCCACTGTTGGCCACATGCTTGCTGTGGGTGGATGTGTGTGTCGTTCTGGACAGTGACGTGGGGAACGTGGCTGTGGTGGACATTCGTGTGCGCGCACCTCTGGCCAGTGCACAGGGCCACCCGGAGGCAGGGTGAGGCTGGTGCCCCAAGGCGGCCTCAGTCTTGGGTGTCGGCGTCGGTTTGTTCCTCTGGTCGGCCTGAGCGAACGCCAGAGGAAGTCCACACACTTCCTGCGTCCTGTGATGAGTCTGACATGATTGCCCATGTGGCCGCCATGGCACAGGCTGCAGGCAGTGGCCCACTGGAGGGCGCCCCCTTTTTGTTTAATCCGCACCCGAGGACATTTTTAGAGGAAGGAGGGTGGGGAGAGAGGCATCCCGCATGCACCCCGACCAGGGTATATGCCTTGACCAGGCTCAAGCCCACAATCCTTAGGTTCGCAGGCCAACACTCCGACCACTGGCCAGGGCGGCCACTTACTTCTGTCACCGTAGTTACTGTTGCCTGTCCCTGCATTTCACATAAACGGACAGGCGGTCAGCGTTCCTTTCCCCCTGTTCCAGCCCCGTCTGTTCGGGAGACTCCCTGTGGCCAGGTGGGCGGGCGCCTTTGTCAGAATCTGAGCGACGGCGGCTGTCTGCGCGGTCTGCCCGCCAGTTCGCAGCTCTGAGCCCTGGACGCGCGGACGGAGTACGCACCTCGGTCCTCGTGGGTTGCCGAGGGACTCGCTTTTCCACATGCGTTTTGGAATCGGCTTCTGAACTTGAACAGAAAAGCTGCTAGACTTCTGGTAGGATGGCCTTGACCTCGGGCCCAGGGAACGGTCCTAGCAACGCTGGGTCTCCGGCCGCCTTTCCTCCTCTGGGCACCGCCGGCCGCATCTCCCCTGGATTTACTCCCGGGTATTAAGCACCTCATGCTGTTGTGAACAGGTTTTTGGTTCATTTTTAAATAGTGTCCCCTCGGTTCACGTGTCAGTGGTCCGTCCACGCTCCAGTCTCCTGTCCACACGACAGCTCCCCTCTGCCCTGGCCTGCGGCCGGCCATCCTCCTCCAGGGGCGTCGCGGCATCTGCCGTGATGAGACCTCAAAGGTTGGTCTCTGGGGTGACAGTTAGGCGGGTTGTCGATGCCTGAGCGTAAAGGAACTTGGCACCGGCCGGGCCGCAGCGCCCATTCCTGTGAGCGGTCGGACCTGCTGGCGCCTGCAGCTCCCTCTCCGCGTTGCCGTGATTGGTCCTAAAGAAGGTGAAGTGTCCGGCTGCAGCCGCCGTGCGGCTGGCGTGGCGTCGCTCCTGTGGGGGCTGGGGTCCATGGGGCGCCCGCCAGGCTGGGACCTCCTTGCGCTGAGTCTTAAGAACCCAACTGTTAACAACAGGCATGGGGCTGTTTAGGCTGCCAATTGTTTTTTAAGATAAACTAGAGGCCTGATGCACGGAATTCGTGCAAGGGGCTCGCAGCCCCAGCTTCGTCCAGAAGGTCGTTCGGCTGTCGGTCTAATTAGCATATTACGCTTTGATTATTATAGATGTTTGTTAAGGAGTCTCCTCTAAGTTGTCAGAGCAGTTGGCCGGCGTTGGGCCTGCCCCTGGTCTCCCTGCCTCTGCGGGCTCTAGTGAGACCCTCGTGCTCCGGGAGCTGTAGGTGTGCTGTGGCCAGGACGCGAGCCCACCCGCCAGGGACCCCGCCCCAGGAGCCCGCCCACTGGCCAGGCCCTGCCCCCCTGCGGCTTGGGGGGGAGTCCTGCTGCCTCCAGGGAACACCTGCCCTTCCTCCCACCCCAGGGCTCAGGGCCGGGCCTGACTCCACCTCGACCCCCAGCTCAGAGGTCGCTCAGAAGGTGGGGCACGTGTCCTGCAGACCGAGATGCTGAGGGAGGGCAGACGGAGGGTCAGCACTTGTGCTCCCATGGCGGCTCCCGCAGACGCGCTGTCTCAGTGGGCCGGGGGGGACTGATGGATGCAGGATGGATGGACGGACGGACAGGCTGGTAGATGGACAGAGGGAGGATGGATGGGTGGAAGGAAAGAAGGAGGGAGGGAGGAAGGTGGCCTGAGCGGCCAGTTGGAGCCCCAGCGAGGGAACATCCCGTCTCATCTTCAAGACCAGGTGGGGTCCAGCCGGGTGGCCTGGTGCCCAGGCTTTGGGTGGAGGAAGCCCACTGCCACCTCTGCAGGCCTCCAGCCTCCAGACCCCATGGCCAGTGCAGCCACCACCCCCACCCCCGCACAGCCAGGAACATGCTGCTCGACTCCCCCGAAGCCCCGGGCACCCTTGGGAGGAAACACCGCAACCCCACCCGCGGGGGCTGAGCCCCCCCTGAGCCCTTGGCCATGTCAAGATGCCCACACTGGCTCTGGCCGGTGGCTCAGTGGTTGGAGCGCTGGCCCTCAGACAAGGGTCGCAGGTTCGGTTCTGGGCCAGGGCATGTGCCCAGTGTGGCTGGGTCCCGGGCACCGGTCGGGGCGCGTGCGGGAGGCAACCAATCGACAGAAGACCAAACTGCAGGGCCACCAGGCAAGGCCGCCGCCTCCCGGACAGCCCAGGAGAGAGGCAGCCCTGGCCCTCAGGATACCGTGGGTTATTAAAATGGAGACTGATGGCTTTAATATTTACGTGAGTAACTGGTGGGTCCCGGAAGCGGTCAGGAAACACGCTGGCGCCTGCCGGGTCAGAGGGTGGACCAGACCTCCCAGGGCCGGGGCTCAGCCTGCGGC